TCTAAAATGAAACAGAAAAAATCTGTTTGCTAAACCTGGCCTTGGGCAGCCTGTTTGCAGTGTCATTACTGGATCTCAGTTTCCCCTTGGGGAGTTGCTTAGAGTAAGTGCATTGCTTTAGTATTTTATTCATAAATTTATTCATTCCTCCAAATACTTACAGTGTGACACCCATGAATGAGGCATTGTGCTGAACACAGGGGATGTAGCTATAAATACGGTGAAGATCTTTTCTACTGGAGAGCTTGGTGTCATTTCTATCTGTCTTCCTGTGGGCTGAGCATCTCCCATTCCCTCCAGCCGATGTTCATGAGACTTCATTTTAGTGCATCTTTCCTTTTCCCTCTCCCTGGACTTTCCTGTGAAGGTGCTCTATGTTTAAGAACCACTGTGGGGGCCTGCCCCCCCCGTGTTGGATGCCACTCACCTACATTCTCCGTCACTATCTCTGCACCTGGTAGGTTCTTCCTTTACCAGACTTTTTTCACTAACTATTAATTATCTGTTTAATTGCCCCCACCTGCTCTTTCTATGCTCTTAACTCTGTGGAAACAGGTGCCATGTCTTCTCTTTTATCGGCAGGCCCTGCGTCGTACCTGACAGGTCGTAGGCACTCAGTGAATACCTGTTGAAGTCAGTTGAAATGGAAAATAGTTTAACTTGGAAAATAGTTTAACCTGTTCATCAGTTTGCTGGTGCTTTGGTTTGTCTTGGTAGCCAGGACGCGTTAACTCTTTGGGTTGAGGGCAGGAAAAAGCCCCCGGCCAACACACAGGTACAGTTTTAATGTAGCTTACAAGTACTTTGTTCTTTTTTATATCCCAGTGTGGGTTTTGACTCTTAATACTATTCTATCTAATCCTATTAGAATTAACTAACAGTTTCAGCCATTTAAACTCTTTCTGAATCTCAGTCTCTCCATACATAAGCCCTCCTTTCCAGACACAGCTGTTTTGTAATCTTGATAAGCATATGCTCTATGGTTTCACTTAAGTCTCTGATAAAAATATTGGACAGAACAGAGGTAATATCAGAACCACGTGATATACACTGGAGGTCTCAGTTCAAGGAGACATTGATTTATTATTCACCACTCTGCTGCAAATCCATCTTAGACTATCTTGTATGCAGGGAGATTTTGAGAGATTTTTATGAATGCTTCTGTTAAAGTAAAGATGTGATATGTCCATCACATGCCCTCTTCTATTCAATTACGAGGTTAATCAGTTGACCACCTTTTGGTGAACTCATATTGGCTCTCTGAATCAGAGATTCTTTTCTCTCTGCTCACCTATAGGATATGTTAAAAAATTGTATTTGCTTTTCATCTCAAGCTCACTTGTCCATAGCCTGGAGAATTCACTCTCCATCTTTTTAGGATATTTGTAAAACTCTCCTAACTCCAGATTCTGGGTGATTTCTTAAAGCTTAGAATCGCCAATCTTCGGTACAGGTGAGAGGCTTTAACACCATTACCTTATTACTGTAGGGTTTCTCATTCAGCCATTTATTTTTGTATTTTGGGATCTAAGTTAGTGTTTTTCAACTTTTTTTTTAAATTTCATAGCACACTTGAAGTATAGTTGAACTTCCATGACACACTTAAATTATGTTGATTTAAAAAAGAGTAAAAAAGAATATATTTACTAGATTGTGAACTTCTTTTGAAAATAATTCAGTTAGTGATCTTTAAAAATTTCCTTGGTACACCAAAGATCCTCTCACGGCCTGTCATTGTGCCATAGCACATTGGTTGAAAATCACTGATCTGATTTAGTTCAGTTAAAATATCAGATATTTGGTTCTAACCAAATTTGAGAAATAATAATCTATATCCACCTGTACATTTTTAAATATGATGTATTTGGACCACAAAGGTGATTTATGCCTACCATTTTATACCATTTTTTGGAAGGGAGAAGGAATATATATGCT